CCCCAAAACCCCAAAACCCCGTCTGTTGAAAAATCTAAATAATAAGGAATATGTATTATTAATGAAATGTGAATACCCATAATTGTTAATAAATTAGGAAAGTAGATAATATGATATGATTAAACTATTTATACATAGACTATTTAAATTACATATTACAATTAAAATGGGTTGCTGCAAAAGTGTATAGATTAAGCTAAATAATACTAAAAAGCATCCATTTAATGGCAAATATCAACAGATAAATGGAGGGGAAATTATGATCATCCTATTTACTGATGTCAAATAGTTGAAGATTTGCTACAGGATTTTTGAATATTTCACAATCAGCGATCTCATTAGGCTCAGCTTCTGTTCAAAGTATCCTATAACATAAATAATGCTAATGATAGGGAGTTATATAATGTGATGGGTTCAAAGTAGGTATTAGAGAACTTTAGAAAAAGCAGAAGGTCAAATTAAGTATTTAACACGAGTAAATCTCAATTCGTTTAACAACAACGAGTAAGTTTTGTTGCCAGATTATGGAGTAAACTAGTTTTTAGAGTGAAGGTTAGAATTCATCCAAATAAAAGGTAGTAATTGATGACAACTACTATATCTACGTCTTACATAGAAGAGAAATCATTTAAAACTCTGAAGAGATAAATTCAGTTGAAACTGTAAGAAAGGATAAGAATAAAAATAGATCACATAGTAAAATTGGAGGGCTCTAATCTATCAAACATTAAGATAATCTTTTGAGGATAGAGAGAGATATCATCATTGATGATCCGAACTTATTTGGTGTTCTTTACAAAAATCCATTTAAAAACTAATCAAAAAGTAACAATCATTCAAGCAGGGATATGAGGGCTAAAAAAAGGAAAGATGAAAGAAGTTCATCTGAAAAGGGTGGCTTAATAAATAAGAGTAGAGGAAGGATCCATGAATTCTATAGTAAATTTTAAAACTCAGAACTATCTGAGGAAACTGATTAAATAGAAGGCAATTAAACTCACAGTAATGTATATTTTCAGAATAACTAAATTTAAAACAAGCTTCGCTCAGTGCAGAAGTTTATTTAAAACCATAAAAAAGCTAACTCCATACTACCGCTTTTGGCCGATTCTAAGGATAATCTTAAACTAACTGAGTAGTCAAGTGCTTAGAGACGAATGTCGAGCTTTCATAACTCATCCATAAGTCCTGCCGGAATTAATACACCTAAATTTCTCTCTAAAAATAGTAATTTTGATTAAACATTGATTCTGTAAAGTAAAAATTCTGTGAATAGATTTATACTTTCTAAGAATATCAATGAGTATACAAATTCCAGAGATTAGTAACCACCTGATATTGACTTTAGAGTTTAAACAACTGGATAGCTGGAATTGTTTAGTACTCTTCATAATAAATCTGAAAGAAGAAGGTCTAAAATAATTGAGGAGGGGGTAAATTTTTCAAGATAATAATCTCCTAAGAAACAAAGAGTACCAAGAAGAGCAAAAGACTCAAATGACAGCATACATGCAGTTTAAAGTGTTAATGTCCTCGGGCTAAACAAATAAACGAAAAAAAAGAAATCTAGAAAGGGTAGTGGCTTCATAAAACCCAACTATTGACTTTGACTTATAAGATTATTATATTAGAGGATTTCTTTATGTAAAAATTATGGCATTTTTATTAGAAATCGTTTTTGAAAACTTATGTTACCTAATAATGATTAAAATTATCAATGAGTTACAATTTCCTAATAAACGCTTTTGCTTAATTTTTAGTAATCTGGGGTTTTGGGGTTTTGGGGTTTTGGGG